GGGGGCCACAGCCAGCCAGGTGGCTCCAGAGACTCACACTGAGGTGACTGGGGCAGTGGGGGGGTGATGGGGAGGGGAGGCGGGGAGTGTGTGTGAAGGGGGTGGGGCATCAGGGGTCCGGGCCTCATGATGTAACTCTCCTGCGTAGGCCCGGCCCCAGCTCCTGCTGCTCCTGTGCCAGGAATTTGATGGTAAATGATATTGAAGTATATGTCTCTGCAGTTTTTTAAAAGGTCCAGGTCTGGAGTAGAAGCCAGTGCCAGGGACACCTGTGCTGTGTCTTTAAGAACACTCTAATCCTTAAGGAAGTGATCCTGTCACTCAAGCCTCACTAGCCAATCAGGAACATCAGACCAACCCGGCAGTCACAAGTCTTGCAGGACACTTCCCGGAGCCATGCTGCAGGCTGGGATTTACAGCAGAACAAGCGCCAGTGGATTGATTGCTGTGCTGTGAGTGCCACTGTAGGAGATTATGAGGGGAACATGGATGAGCACGGAAGCCACAGCATGGTGAGCGAGGGAATGCTACCCTAAGATGGGGAGGATGGAATGGGGAGGCTTGGGAGATGGTGAGTTTAGCAAGCCCTCCCGGAGGCTGGGTGGGAACTTGCCCCCACATTCAGTGTTATCTGAGGTACCATGTGCCCTAGCAAATCCAAAGATCCTGGGGCTGACCTGTGAATGCTTCACTATGTGGACTGCATCTGTGGAAAGCATTTCAATCAGGGAGCTTTGTGTAGAAACACCTTTGTAGTCAACACCAATATTGAGGGACCAAAAACTAAAATTAACAAAAGTAAAAACTTAGGATCTGAAAAGGGAACTTCTAGTGGTAAAGGGAAATTTAACTCCTTAAATCAGGAGTGCCATGGCTAGTGCCTGATCCCCTGCACTCAGAGAAGTGGAGGTAACTGTCCACCACTCCTGTTAACATTCCTTTGCTAATTGCTGGTCCTAAAGATCCCCCAGCCCAGGGGATAACTGACAGACCCTGTAACCCTGAAAGCCCATGCCCTGTATTATCTCACTCAAATGTATCTCACTTAAAATATATAGCTACTGCTTTACTCTGTACTTTGTATAACCTTAAGTAACCATGGAAACTCTGAAATTTGTGGTCTGCCCCTTTAAAAACTTCTCTTTTAGGCTGGTTGGCATCTCATTTGCAGTGAGATCCTAGCTGTCCAGCATGAAATAAAAAGAAACCTTTTGCTTTTGAATCAGAGTGGGTTAGTCTCTGGGCTCCTTGAACCTGACACAATATGTTTGGGTGCATAGAGAAGGCAACTTGCCAAACTTGAGAGGCCTAGTTTCTCTAGTGTATTCTAGAAGTTCTGCACTTTACATTTAACATTTAGGTGTAACTCCACTTGGAGTTAATTTTGTGCATTGTGTAAAAAGCATTCTTTTTCTTTCCTTTTTATATTTGTTTATGCTTCTATATATAACTCTGGAACTTGCTCCGTAGAGAAGGCTATCTCAAAACTCATAGAGATCTGCCTGCCATGACTCCGGAGTACTGGGATTAAAGGCATGGAACACTAAAAACACCAGTAAATGGCATTCTAGTGTTGGATTGCACTCCACTGCTAAGCTGTGATGTGGAAGAATAGAATTGTTGATATAATTGCCAATTCTTAGGTGATAGTAAGTCCCACAAAATAGAATTTAGCTGAGGGAATGCTGCCTCTAAAATAACCCAAAGATAAGTAGTGTGCTAACTAGGCCTGTTAGAGATTAGGATGATAAAATACACATTTGTTCTCCAGGACTATCCAGATTTTTGGCTCCAACCATGACAAAAGAGAAACCTCTGACTTACAAAAAGCCTCTAGCCCCATCCCGATATGACAGATCAGTGCTTTCACAAGCTGCTCAAGGGGGCATTACTGGGTCACAATGAACATTAGGGCATGGTGTGCCATACAGGTCCAGTTTTCTTATAGAGAAAATCATATTTCTGCCAGATGGGCAAGATGAGACTAGGTGGCAAATATTTGAAAAGGAAAACCCTGTTGTGTTGAAGGTTGGACTGAGCAAGCAAGACTTTCTATTTAGGTCCTCACTAATGGAGAAGGAACATAGCTCCTTTTCCAACCCAGGAAAATGATTGGCAGAGCCAGGAACAGCCTGGCCTAGCCCTAATAGTTTTCTGGCAGGCCCTGAAGTATTGAGAATAAAATAGAGCTCCTCCAATAAAACTAGGAAGATTCTGGGGAGAGAATGTAATGGTCTGTAGCCAGGGCCTTTGTGGAGTGGTTGCTTCAGATTCTGAGAACACAACTCTTCCCACCTCATGGAGTTGTGGTTATTGGTCCCAGGGCCACTGTGGGCTTAGACTGTTATGTTCTTAGGATACCCTGTGTTCCCCTTGTGCTGCATTGTTTGAGTAGCCTTCTCCTGAGTTTGTCCCATTGTATGATAATTTCTGCTGACTTCCTAGAAGTTTCCTATTTCCCTCTGTTTCTCCCTTGCAGTAGTATACAAGAAGCTGTTCCTCATAAGAAGCTTACTTCTTACTCTGTGCCAATGTGTGTACTATAGTTTGTAATCCTCTTGAGAATTTTATCTGTTTGCCATTTGCATATCACTTTGGAATCAGATATCCTGTGATAATCTGTTGGGGATTTACTTTGGATTGTATTCAATTCATGTTGCATATTTACCTTATATGCTATCTTAATATTGATGCACCAAGTTACCAATGATTATTTATTTACTTCTTTATTTATGTAGGCTTTTTATTCTCAATGTTTTTAATCTGTCAAAGACTTTTAGTATTTCATCTAAAAAGTACCATAGGACTTGGCAGGTGGCTCACCACATATTCTTCCAGTGGAATGACCTAAATTCAGATCCCAACACCCAAATTTGGAGGCTCATAACTAGCTGCTACTCCATATCTGGGATATCTGACTCCCTCTGGTATATCTCTGGTATATCACATGTATACACATGGAAAACTTTCACACACAATCTGTGTGTGTGTGTGTGTGTATATATATATATATATATATATATATATATATACATGTATATGTGTATATATGTATATATATGTGGGGTAAACTAGTTTTGAAAACTTGTGTTACTTATAGACAATGAGAGAAAAAAATCACTGAACTTGGGTACATAAAACAAATCATACACTTTCTTTTTGTATTTATTTTAAAAATTTAGTTTTCATTTCACAATCCAACCCCAGTTCCCCTCCTTCCCCATCTCCTGCCCCCTACCTCTTTCCCTTCCCATCCATCATTCACTCCTCAGAGGGGGTAAGGCCTTCTTTTGGGAGTCAACAAAGGCTGGCATAAAAAGTTGAGGAATGACCAAGCCACTCCGTCCTCTATCAAGACTGAGCAAGGTATCCCCCCATAGGGAGTGGGCTTCAAAAAGCAAGTTCATATACCTGGGATGAGTCCTGTTTTCACTGCCAGGGGTCCCCAACAGATCAAGTCACATAATTGTCACCATATTAAGAGGGTCTAGTTTGGTTCCATGAAGGTTACCCAGCTGTCAGTCCATAGTCTGTGAGCTCCCACTAGTGACAGTAGTTGGTGGTGTGGCTTTGTTGGACTGGGCTTTTCCTTGTTAGAGGAAGTATGTCACTGTGGGGTCAGGCATTGAGGTTTCTTATACTCAGGATGCTGCTCAGTGTGTCAGTCAATGTCCTGTTGCCTCTGAGTCAAGATGTAAGGACTCTCTAACCTTCAACACCACATCTGCCTGCATGCTGCCATGCCCCCTGACATGATGATGATTAACTGAAACTCTGCAATTTTAAGGGAGACAAATCAATTAAATGTTTTTCTTAGCTGGGCAGTGGTGGTGCATGCCTTTAGTCCCAGCACTCCGGAGGCAGAGGCAAGCAGAGCTCTGTGAGTTTGAGACCAGCCTGGTCTACAAGAGCTAGTTCTAGGACAGCCTCCAAAGTCACAGAGAAACCCTGTCCCGAAAAACCAAAACCAAAACCAAACAAACAAAAAACAAAAATGTTTTCTTTGTAAGAGTTGCCATGGTGCATGTTGTCTCTTCACAGCAACAAAAACCTAGCAAAGACAAATGTTGGTACCACCAACTGAAATATTCCTGTGATAGGCTGGCCCTATCATACAATTTCTCTGATGTCTTTTCAGTAGCGTTGATCTGCAAGATTGCCTCTCCCTTTATGTCTGTCCATTGGAATTTCTTTCTCAAGATTATAGGATATTCAAATGGACAAGGAATGGTACATGTGAACCTCCTATTCAGTTTCCTTATAAAGTGACTGGGTGAACACATTATAATGTCCATGTTATGAAATTAGCATGGGGAGCACCAGAATTGTATGAATATTCTGTCAAAGAAGTATAAAATACAATGTGAGTTTCACACCTCTTGTTTTGCACATGTATGGATTATTTTAGGATGTACTGACCTATGATGATGTGCACATCAACTTCCCTCAGGAAGAGTGGGTTTTGCTCAATCCTTCCCAGAAGAGTCTCTACAGAGATGTGATGCTTGACACTTACAGTAACCTCACTGACATAGGTAAGACTGAATTTTCCTTCATGATTTAAAATAAGGGGATGACTATTTTCTTGGTTATTGCTAATCTCCTGTAACTTCAATTGAGAAAAAGGAAAAATTTAGGTGAATAAGACATATTTCTGATGTTCATTGAAGACATTAACTTAAATTTTGTACATTTTCCATTAATACATCATATATTTTCTGGTATTGTATTTTAGGCTACAAGTGGGAAAACCATAATATTGAAGAACATTGTCAAACTTCTAGAATACACAGAAGGTAATATTCATGTGCAAGTTTACACAAATTTGCCTCTGAAGCAATTTCAAATGTCCTGGAAGTTTTAAAGAAAAGCAACAGTGTAACTAAACACAGCTTAAAGTATATTAAACATTTTTAACTTCTTACAAAAACATGTATCTCAGGGTCAGGTAGCTATTCTGTGTTTGCAAGGCATTCTTGTGAAAAAGAAGACAAGGAAACAATGTCTTAGCAGGACCACCATATGCATTATAGCCCCAAGAGAGCTGTGCTCTAGAAATGCCAATCCATTTAGTTTCATACCGCCCAGGTATTTTAAATAGTAAACACATTGAATAGATGATACATATATGTATAAATCCTTCTAAGAAAAGAGAGTCTATAGTAAAGCTGTCATTGCTTATATATTTGTGACTTTGCTAAGTATATTGAAAAGGTCAGAAGGTCAAGAAGGTTGTTTTAGAGAAACCGTAATCCCTACACCACATGTCTGTGAGGTAAAGGAAAACAAACTGTGTGAATACAATGTGGAAACCTTTTATTTGTTATTCTTCCTTTAATAAGAATATCAGATGTTGAGCTGCGTGGTGGTGGCAGATGCCTTTAATCCCAGCACTCAGGAGGCATAGGCAGGTGGATCTTCATGAGTTGGAGGCAAGCGTGGTCTACAGAGAGTTTTCTAGGAAGGGCTCCAAAGCTGCACAGAGAAACCCTGTCTCAAAAACCAAGAAAAAAAAATGAATGTCATATGTCACTCTAAATAAAAGCCATGTGAGTGTAGAATATGGAAAGAAGCAATGCAGCCCCCCCCCCTCAGGACATGTAGAAGAAATGAAATATATTTAGTAGTCCCCACTTTGAGTAGATTTGTTGAATGTGATGCAAGTTTTCAATTAATTGGTTTTCCAATGTCGTTGGGAATACATCAATACTCACACTGAAGAAAAGCACTATGACCATCGAAATGTTGGAATACTTCCATTTGACGTGGTATTTTCTTCCAATATAGTATGAATCACACAGTAGGAAAATTTATGAATGCCATAAGTATGGCAAAGCTCTGAGTCCCTCCAGTATTTTTCAAATAGTAAACAAATCTTACATAAAAATGCCATAAATGTGGCCCATGAAATAAAGTCTCTTACTATCATGGTATCTTCTAATTCACAAAACAACCCCTCATGAAGGGAAGCATCTTGAATGTACAACTTAAGATCTGATTCCTCTTTACAATTAGGCCAAATTATAAAATGAATTTAAGCGTATACTAAGTTTCATCAGTATAATGCATGTGGTTAATGCTTTTACATATGCTAATTATCTATGCAGGAGTGAAAGAAGCCATACAGGAGAGAAACCCTGTGAATATACTCTATGTGTCAAAATCTTTGTATTTTACAGGCATCTTCAAAGACAAGAAAAAATTCATACTGGAGAGAAACAATATGAAAATCTTCAATATGGTGAAGTCTTTGCATGTCACAGTTGTCTCCAACTCCATAAAAGAACATATACTGGAGAAAAACCCTATGAATGTAATCAGTGTGGTAAAGCCTTTCCAAAACACTGCCGTCTCGTAATTCATAAAAGAACACATACTGGAGAAAAACCCTATGAATGTAGTCAATGTGGTAAAGCCTTTTCACATGTCAGCAGTCTACAAACACATAACAGAACACATAATGGAGAGAAACCCTATGAGTGTAATCAATGTGGTAAAGCTTTTGTAAATCATGGTCAACTTAAAATACATATAAGAACACACACTGGAGAGAAACCCTACAAATGTAATCAGTGTGGTAAAGCTTTTGCACATTATGCTGCGATTAAAAGACATATAAGAATTCATACTGGAGAGAAACCCTATCAGTGTAATCAATGTGGTAAAGCATTTGCAAGTCATGGTCAGCTTCAAAGCCATAAAATAACACATACAGGAGAGAGAGCATACAACTGTAATAAATGTGGCAAAGCATTTTCACGTCATGGTAATTTTCGAGTACATCAAAGAACACATACTGGAGAGAAACCCTATGAATGTAATCAATGTGGTAAAGCATTTTCACAGTCCAGTAGTCTAAAAACACATCAAAGAACACATACTGGGGAGAAACCCTACGAATGTAATCAATGTGGTAAAGCCTTTTCACTGGTCACTAGTCTCCAATATCATAATGCAATACATACTGGAGAGAAACCCTACAAATGTAATCAATGTGGTAAAGCTTATGCAAGTCGTGGTGAGCTTAAAAGACATATAAAAACACATACAGGAGAGAAATCCTATGTGTGTAATCAATGCGGTAAAGCCTTTGCACGTGTCAGTACTCTCCAAAAACATAAAGGAACACATACTTGAGAGACAACCTGTGAATGTAACCATTGTGACAAAGCCTGTGTATGTATCATCAGTCATTAAAATCATGAATAACATCATACTGCAGAGAAATCCTATAAATGTGCACAGTGTGGTAAAGTTGTGCACTTTGCATATCACAATAATCTTTGAGGACCTGAGAAAATTCATACTGAAGGGAATCTTTCTGTAAAGGATTTGGTAAGATCTTCATCCAACATATATTTAGTTGCACAAATTCTGGAGGAGAAAAATATCTGTTCAAGCATTATGATGTCTATTTTTTTGCACTTGCAACTCATATGGACAAAAGTCCTACAAATTCACTGATAAGGTATCCCTGTTTGATTTCACTTTTTACTTACCCAAAAACCTTTTTCAGATTGGTTGATTTGTCTGAATTGAATCCTACATGCTTGCTTTGTGTTACATAAACCAATTCATGATGAAGGGAAACAGTTAAGACTTTAAATGCCTCAACACCTGGGTTACAGGAATGAATGCTTACAAGAGAAAGTATTCACTTGTGGAAATCTGTTTGGTTAGAGATTTGATTTAATTTTAATTATGTGATGTCAGTGTGTGGGTTTGTGAATGTTCATGCTTGTTCCCAAGAAGGTTAGAGCCTTGTGTATTCCTGTAGCAGAAACTACAGTAAGTTCTCACAAATCTTATCAAAATCCTGGCAATGATCTTGTCATATTTTTGTTCATCCATATCTCTAAACCTGTACATATTTTAAATCATTTTTTTAAAATCAAGTAATAGAGAACTCATGGAAGAGAAAACCAAATTCATATAAATAATTTGGAAAAGACTTAATACTTGTCTTCAGTTTCAATAAAAAAAAAATGTTTCATGTCAAGGTGGGTGTTAATGAGTTTACCACATCTATGGTAAATGAAACGTGGGTGTTTTATTGGGGAACAACTTATACACAGATAAAAATAAAGAGCATTCCTGCTCCAGAAGATGCTGTCTCTGTCCTTCTGATTCAATCTGCAACCCAAGAGAGAGAGAGAAAGAGAGAGCCCGCCTCATGCTTCCCATGCTTCTCCACCTTTAGATCAAGTACACAGAAACAAACGCACAGCACATTAGACTACAAAACATCTGATTGGTGGGTCTGCTAGAGGCACTGATTGGCTAGTGAGGCCTGAGTGACAGGACCAGATGAGCAGTAGAGACACAGCTCAATGGCCTAATCTGAGCAAAGAATTCCTGTGTGGCCCCAAGGAAACAGAAAAACAGAAACCACGAGGTGAATCATGAGGTGGGGGCTTTTACCACCCCCTTGGGGTGGAGACGACAACAGCAGGCAGAGTCTGCTGTTTTTAGAGGCAGAGTCTGGACTGAGGTGACTCCAGGTGAGGGCCCAAACTTAGCACCTTGAGTGCGTTGTTTGCAACAGGGCTACCAAACATTCCAGCTTCTTTGCATAGATACAGAAACAGGTAGGGCTTTCACCTAAACAACCCAGACTCCCTGGGTTTAGGGTCATCATTTTAAGACTGGCTTCTTCCTGCTGACAAGGGACAATTAGGGAGGCCTGGAGTCAGGACTTGGGGGCTCACTTTCAACCGGATGTAAAAGTGGAGAAGTGTTCCCTTAGGTACCAACCTGTGTACCTCAGTCATCTATCTGCTCCTTGAGGATTCAGAGAATGCAGGTTGGGTGAAGATTCCACCATAATAGCTGGAGGGAGGCTGGTATGAGTAAAGATAGTGTTTAGTGGCTCAGTTCCAAACTCCACCCTCAGGGTGCCAAGGGCGGGCCATCACCTGGATTCACCTCAGTTCAGACTCATCCCTTCAAACACCCACCATTGTCCCCAGGAGAAGGGGAAAGAGACAAGAGCTCCAGAACAAATTGTGAAATGGAGGAGGGGGGGAGTTAGGAAAAAGAGAAGAGGAGGGGGGAGGAGGAGGATATGAGTGATCAGGAAGTCTGAGTAGGTTTAAGAATAGAGGAGATAAAGATAAGCGATATCATAGTAGAGGGAGACATTATAGGTTTAAAGAGAAATCTAGCAATAGGGAAATGTCCAGAGATCTGAAAGGAGACCCCAACTAAGAATCTAAGCAATGGTGGAGAGGCTACCTTAAATGCCCTTCCCCTATAATCTTTTCACCCACCATATCTAGGAAATGCTGTTTATCTCTGTGGATCCAGAATGTTCTAAGCAGAAGTCCCATTTACAGTGTGTATATTGTTAATACAATTTTGGAAAAGATGTATTAAATTTATCTGACTCTGGTCTGACAAACGAGTAACTTACATAAGACTGACCTAGACTCCCTTAATATAGGTGACGATGGTGTGGCTGGGGCAAAATATATGAAGACATTAGAAGTGGGTCCAAGATCGAATTCTAATTCACAAACTGACTTAGTGGAGTCCATTCTGTATGGAGAGATACCCTGCTCAGCCTAATCACAGGGGTGTGGAAGGTGGTGAGGTGCCTCGGTCCTGCCTCAATAAGATGATGGGACAGATTTAGTAGACTTCCTAGGGGAGGCCTTACCCTCTCTGAGGAGCTGTTGGGAGGTAGGGTGGGAGGGAAGGGGGGACTGGGAGGAGAGGAGGGAAGGGGAACTGGGATTGGAATGTAAAGAATAAAATAATAAAAATGTTTTTAAAAAAGAAATCAACCCTCTGAATTCCTGGGAAGCTAGAAATTGGAGACCCTTGGGTCTTATTTCTTTGCCTCACTCATGGGAGCTTCGTCATTGTCTATACCTCCTTGCTCCCACTGGGATATTTTTTGGGAGACCCACTGATGATTCCTAATCAGTTATTGTTGCAGGACTACCAGCTGTTGGCCATAGAGTTGTTTTTCAAGCAACTCATGTCTTTCGATCCTTGTTATTAACTCTCATTGTCAAAGCTGATCCCACAGTCAAATCCATGGGCAGGGAATTACATGAGCTTTCTAAGTACTTCCCCTTTTAGGTATCTGAAACAATTGACTCTACAGAATTCACTCCTATGAAGCTTTGTTTAAAGAGGTAGGTCTGGGAAAAAAATGTAGACAAGCAAGAGGTCATAGAGACAAATCAAAACACATTCATGGACCTTTGTTCTACAAACTTCCATAATGACTCAATCCTGCTGTTTTCAACTGTCAGCTGCAAGTGAATGACACATTGCTCGAATGAGAGTGGTAATTCTAAACATACTGTGGTTCATGATGAGAACTCAAGCCAGGGAAGTAGGAACAAATTTATAGTCATTAGTGCCTAGTCACAGTTAAAACGAAGTGTTTATAAACATCTGGGAGCTCAGTCTCCTTCAAGAAATTTAGGAAATCATTGAAATTTGTTCCTCAATAAAAAAATATGTGCACTTACATACATGCATAATCTTGAATATAACCCTAAAATGTTATAAAGTCTTGATACTTAGTCATCACCTCCTGGGAGTATTTCATGGTGAGCTTTGAAAACTGTGAGATGGGGAGGCCACTGGAGATCTGAAGTTGATATGAGGCACACTCTAGGTTGCAGTCAAGACATTCATTGTTCCACTTCTTTTCAGGTGCTGCAAGACTGGAAACAATTCTGCCAACCTAATTATTGTTCCCCAGCCAAGCAACAGAATTCCTCTTATTCCTTGGCACATTTGCCCTGTTGATTTTTCCTTCTGCATCTCTTAAAAGAGAAAGAATGGGTTTGATTTTCACTTTCTTTCTGGTTTGCAAGAAAAAATGCATATTCCTTTTTTGCCCCACAGTGTGTGATCTAAATCAGCTGTGATTACCAGCCAAACCACTGTATGTCTGTGCTGAGTTATACAATGCCCATTGCTTGGGCCTCACACCCAGCTTGTTCACATCTTACTAAAACCTCTTCGTTCCTCTTGTTCATCCTGCAGAGCCTTCCTTTCTTTCTGAGGGCCACAGAAATAACAAACAGCCTTTGGTGTCTGGCGAATAGACAAAGCATTCCTGTTACTTTCCATTATGATGAACAAAGTCTCACTTGTCCAGTGAAAGAAAGCTGCAAAACTTGAGCACATTAGCTACCCTTTAAAAAATATTAACTCTGCTTTACAGTTTCTTGGGATGAGGCTGCTACCTTTGTCTGCTGTGTAGTTTCTTCCCCCCTTTTAAATTTAAATTAGAAACAAGCTTGTTTTACATGTCAATGCCAGTTCCCTCTCACTCCCCTCCTCCCCTGCACCCCACCGTGCCCCTATCCCATCCCCTTTCTCCTCCCCAGGAGCAGGGCCTAGACCCTGCCCCTTGTATCTAGGCTGAGAGAATATACCTCTGTGTGGAGTCGGCTCCCAAAGTCCATTGGTGTACTAGGGATAAATACTGATTCACTACCAGAGGCCCCATAAATTGCCCAGACCTCCAAACTGACACCCACGTTTAGGGGGTCTGGAACAGTCCTATGCTGATTTCCCAGCTACCAGTCTGGGTTCCATGAGCTCCCCCTTGTTCAGGTCGGCTGTTTCTGTGGCTTTCTCCAGCCTGGTCTTGACCCCTTTGCTCATCTCCCCTCCTTCTCTGGATTCCAGGAGTTCAGCCCAGTGTTTAGCTGTGGGTATCTGCTTCTGCTTCAATCAGCTACTGGATGCAGGCTCTAGGATGGCATATAAGGTACTCGTCAATCTCATTATCAGAGAAGAACATTTAAGATACCCTCTGGCCGGGAGTTGGTGGTGCACGCCTTTAATCCCAGCACTCTGGAGGCAGAGGCAGGTGGATCTCTGTGAGTTCGAGGCCAGCCTGGTCTCCAGAGCAATTGCCAGGATAGGCTCCAAAGCTACACAGAGAAACCCTGTCTCGAAAAAAGACAACAACAACAACAAAACACCTCTAGACCAGCCTGGTCTTCAAGAGCTAGTTCCAGGACAGCCTCCAAAGCCACAGAGAAACCCTGTCTCGAAAAATCAAAAAAAAAAAAAAAAAAAAAAAAAAAAAAAAAAACGATAGCCTCTGGACCATTGCTTAGACTGTTAGTTGGGGTCACACTTGTAGATCTCTGGACTCTTCTCTAATGCCAGATTTCTCTTTAAACCTATAATGGCTCCCTCTATTATGGTATCTCTATTCTTGCTCTCCTCTATTCTTCCCCTGACTCAATCTTCCTGCTTGCTCATGTCCTCTTCTCCACTCCCCTCCTCTTCTCCCCCACTCTTTTTTCTAACTCCCTCTTCCCTCCCCACCATGCTCCCAATTACCTCAGGAGATCATGTTCCTTTCCCTTTCTCCAGGGGACCACCTATGTCTTTCTTAGGGTCCTTGTTTCTTAGCTTCTCTGGCGGTGTGGATTGTAGGCTGGTAATCCTTTGTTCTAAGTCTAAAATGCATATACAATTGAGTACATACCATTTTTGTCTTTTTGTGACTGGGTTACCTCATTCAGGATGGTTTCTTCTAGTTTCATCCATTTGCCTGTGAATCTCAAGATTCCATTGTTGTTTTCTGCTGAGTAGTACTCCATTGTGTAAATGTACCACATTTTCTCTATCCATTCTTCAGTTGAGGGGCATCTAGGTTTTGCTTCCAGGTTCTGGCTACTACACATAATGCTGCTATGAACATGGTTGAACAGATATCCTTGATGTATGAATGTGTGTCTTTTGGGTATATGCCTAAGAGTGGAATTGCTGGATCTTGTGGTAGACTGATTCCCATTTTCCTGAGGAACTGCCATACTGATTTCCAAAGTGGCTGTATGAGTTGGCACTCCCACCAGCTGTGGGGGAGTGTTCCCCTTTCTCCACATCTCCAGCATAAACTGTCATTGGTGTTTTTGATTTTAGCCATTCTGACAGTAGCAAGATGGTATCTCAGAGTTGTATTGATTTTCATTCCCCGATGGCTAAGGACATTGAACACTTTCTTAAAGTGTCTTTCATCCATTTTAGATTCCTCCATTGAGAATTCTCTATTTAGTTCTGTGCCTCACTTTTTAATTGGATTATTTGGTGTTTTGGTGACTAGCTTCTTGAATTTTTT